TGCTCAAGGACAGCACGGCACAGTGTGACAGTTCAAACAAGGCTGCGCTGGTCAGATCCTTGAACCCATCGGCCAGGAGGGCAGTTTGCTATTAGAAGGGCTGGTAAGCAGTAACCACAGATCATTTTCAGCAGGGAGCGGAGACCAAGGCAGCAGGTGTTTCTAAGGAGGATAAAATCCCACTGAGGCATTCTAAATATGAGTTTTCCCCAATTAGGAAGCTAATTTTCTGCCTGAAAGGGCCCTCAGAAATCAATACAGACTCTGGACTATTGCTTCGTGGGGCAGCATCACATAGCTTGGTAGGTAATATGTTCATTTATGGGGTTTTTATGCTGGCATAATTTCCAAGCCACTAGCCAAAATGCATGACTAACATTTTCATGCACACAATTCCTGCCTGTGCTGCTTATAACAGAGTTAACATGACTCAGCAATCTCCGTCAGGAATAGCAGTATCTCAGAAGAGATCCTTTACGAGCAAGCAGCTCATGTTTATGGATTAAAAATGCCTTGAACTCTGAAAGCAATTTCTCTGTTGGCCACTTCTTCAGCGTTGCCTTGAGAACATGTACTAATATTGGATCTTTGGCAGTCATTTTCGTGACCTGGCCAGGCGAGAGGAGCAGCCAGGAGGGGATTTCAATATCATTATTTCATCTGGAGGTAGGACCTCACAATCTGGCATCCGAAACTGTTGGTATACTGAGCTGGCACCAAAAATCAACTTTTCTGATTTTCTGACAAGTTTACAATCATACATATTTAGCATAGAACTCCACGGCTGCCTGCGAACGTAGGCGGTAGGAGGCATGGATGTGTATTCAGCTCTCTAGAACAGGTTTGTTGGCTGGATCAATCTCAGAAGTACAACAGCAACTGAAATTATGGAACTTTGTAGTTCCAGAAACAGCATCAAATGCTTCTTTATCATCCTGCACATAATCTCATTCAGATGGTATCCAAGTTCTTGGCATTTCAGTCTGAATTGCTAATGAATCTGAGAATGGCTCTAGCAACGCAGCAGAAGGCAATAAGAACCATCTTTGCACTTTCTGGGGAAGGAGCACAGAAGTGCATCTCAGTAATTCTTGACATCCTTGAGGTCAGTTTAACCAGAGCCCTTTCACAGAAAAGTTAGTTTCTTAACCTCACTGTCAGAAAAATATTCGGTTTGTTCTGTTCATTCAGAATTGTCTGCAACATCCCTTTCTCTGGCAGATGCACTTAACACCATCACCAGATCTGCAGAATTGCACTGAGCATCTATGAATCTTCTTTCACAATGTTGATGCTGCCCTCCACCGTCTGACAGAAATGCAAGGGACTGCTCTGGTTAGATGGTTCATGAGGTACTTGAGTTCCTAAAATCTCAGCAATCATGTGGGTAACAGTTACCTTCTCAGTCACAAGAGGATGTTCACTTCACTTGGGGTTGCTGGAAAAATAATTGCTAACCTACAAAAAGCCCAGAAGATGTGAGGAGGACTCGACAGTTGGGATCTTCTGAATTATTTCAGGGGACCCTGGACAGACTGACAGAACACACACACCTAGGTGCTTGCATGCTGGATGGACTCTTTGCACACACTTGTGCTTGCGAGAACATGTGTACGGGACTGGAAGTGAAATCAGTTTTGATGTAGTTTTGTAAAGAAAAAGACTCTCCACTCCTAGGAGGTCTCACACTGCTGCCACAATGTCGCGGCATTATTTCCTACGAGGTGAGCAGGGATGACACACTGTCTGACGAATGCTGGACACAGGGAGGAGGAGGCAGCTCAGAAGCTGGAATCTTTCTGCATCAACAAGGAACGTCCTTGGCATAAGAGGCGCGTCCCGGCTGAGCTCTGTGCACAAACCCACAGCGCCTTCTCCACACGTGTAACAGCTTCAGGAACAGGCAAGGAAAAGGCACAAACAGGTCACAGACCAAAAAATGAGAGAAACCTGGTGATTAATAAGAATGCAGACCCTCAGATACAGGCCATCCGGGTAGAAGTCTCCAAACGAATCAAGTGTTGGCTCTTC